GGTAGAAGCGTGCAGCACCAAACAGTCAGCGTTGAGTAATTGTTTGGATGCGCCACGCACTCAGCTTATCAAGAATTGCACTAGCACTTGAGAGTGGTGTAGTGGCACGCTTACCAGGGCGGAAGTGGTGCAGTGGCAAGTGGCGCGCTCACCACGCGAGCGGTCCGGGGATCAAATCCTGGGTCGTGAGTCGCCCGGGCCAACCAAGCCTTCCATCCCTCCGGGGTCGGTTAATTGGTACCAGACTTGTCTGGGAGGATAAAAACACTGACTTGAACATCGGCTGGCCCCCGCAAGTCATTGTATAGGCCACATCGCATTCAAACGCCACTACGAATGTACAAATGGAAGTAGAATGCGTGCCGCATCCCAAAAGGGATTGATCAACGGCAAATGCTTTATCCTTATCTATTATAGCACCTTAATGCACTTATTCCGCACGCAGCGACTTGCAGGAAGCATGAGTCGATCATGTTTTCAATTTTTGTTCACGACAATCCCCGGTAATTCTGGTGTCCGAGTGCGGAATGGTGGAAGGCCCCACTTGCCACTACTACTCCCGCCACAGGGCGATGTATGATGAAGTGCTGTAATAATATAATATTAAAGAAATAGGGTATACACTAGGTATTTGGGTATTAAAAAAAAAGTCTATTTTCATATTTTCCGTTTCTATCTTGAAAATACAGGTGATTCATCTGCGGTTATTGACTTATTTGGCGGTTACCATCACCAGTTTTCACCTTCCAGATGTCCTCATACGTTCATGACGTCGCTTCCACGAACCAGCATCATTGTCTGCTATTTCAACGAGTCGCCTTCAGTGCTGATCCGTATGGTCAACTCGATTATCGATCGAACACCTCTGGATTCTGATTCAGGAGATCCTGCTGATCGATGACAGCAGCGAATGGCGTGAGTTTGAAATTATCCTTCACTCCTCTTTAAAGAAGGTGGAGAAAGGTCACGACTGGTTGGTCGAATCTCTTCAGAGCCACTAATTTGTTGAGAAATAAGATTTAATTGTTATCAGAACAAATAGATTTCTTTATCACCGAAACAAAGATACTGTATCGTCACAGGAAAAAAGTATTGTTGTGAAGTGCAGTCGATGAAAAGATACACTTTGAAAAGAAAAGATACTTCTCGTGACTGAGCCGTTTATAGTTGGAGACAAAAGGACACGCGTTATTTCTGATAACATCACAAGCATCAAAAGCCCGCGTATATCGATTTTTTGGAGGCCATCGCATTTGTTATTGAGTCTGCAATTGGGACAGGTTCGGCTGTGAAAAAGTGGGTGTAAATGGTCCCGTGGAGAGTAGGAACAACGCTGAGGTAATGGGATTGTCATAAAAGGTAATGAGTTGATAATTTCTGAGCAAAATCATAGAAGATGTACACTCAGAGGCGCTCTTTGGTGATTGAATGCGTAGAAGTTATTGCGTTGGATTTTTGTAGTGATTTTTATAGTGCGCTGTCGCACGAGCGGTGGTTTATACCCAGCCTTTACAACCCTCATTTGTCCACCGTTCGCAGAATGTGCCTCAAACAGCAGCACGAGTGAATGTGGTCTTTTATCATCGAAAACAGCTTTCTCCTTGATTTTCAGCCGATGCATCACTTCAAGCAGCTGATTATCAGAGGAAACATCCTCAATGGGGTATGGTAAAGTTCCTTCGGACGCCCTCCAATCAAGGCCTTATCAGAGCGAAAGTCTTCGGTGCCAGGAAGGCTCGTGGAGAAGTGTTGGTGAGTTCTTGAATTCTTCGTCAATTCCAGTGAAAATCATTAATCAATTACCAGGTTGGTTCTGCCGGTGTCATTTCGATTCCATTGCGCAACAAGTTTGACGGCAATAAAACATGCAGGGTCAACCATATGTTCGAATCATGTTAACGAGGAGGGGGAGGGGGTTGTATTTGAGATTTCGGGAGGAGGTCGTATTTGGATCGACCATGCCTAAACACAAGGTCATCTCTTAGATAAGTGCGAAGAAGTAATTGAAAGGTCGTGGTTGCGGAGGGTCGTTTCTCACGTTTTGACGGGTTTTTGACGATTTTATGAGACTATACCCAAGTGGATTAGACAAATTAAAATATTTGTCGCTTTATTAGTCAATCTGCTCCACAAAAAGTCCAAAGAGCTGGTGTCGAGGGCCGAAAATGGTGATTACGAGGGCACCGTTTTCATCGGCGACAAAATTCCTCTCATGGAGCGGAGCTACAATCTCCAAAATTTGGGGATACTCGCATGAGGTCTTAGGGCTGCCAAAGAAAGAGAGAGGAATATTCTTCAGAAGTAGCAACCAATTCCTGTCGCGGTCTAGTCAGAGGTCTCAAGTACCGGTCGCTCACGACCACTGCCTCTTCAAAAAGGGAACACAACTCGATGCCAACCAACCTGAGGGACATTTGGTGCATCATCTGTTACTAAGGTATCTAGCCACTTTGAGGGGAGAATGATGTTTTTTCCAATCGAACCCAGCTTCTGCAGAGGAGGCAAAAATTGTTCAGAAGCGGTTTCAAGCTACTCCTTACAATTTCATATCCTCAAAGGAACGGCCCCCTTCTTCCTTGATTCCAACGTGCTGATCCAACCTATGTGGGCTGTATTAAGGGACAGAACCTGCTCCCAACATGGCACTCACATCGATCAAACCGGAGCCTCTTTACAGCTAAACTTTCGAAGGGAGAACCCCAGAATGCTACGCGGGCCGCAGTAGTGTTGCTTTCGAAGCAATCGGGAGCCATAATCACAGCAACAGGGGGTCATGTCTAATAAACATCACTCCTTCAAATATGTAAATGTATGGCTAAGAATTGTGTATAAGCTCTTGAAGATACATACGTTTTGAGAGAAGTTACACTCAAAGAAAAGTGGTGCAATATTTATGGGACACCCTGTAATTCTAAGTAGGCTCTCTCCAGTGATAGTAGTGGGTCGTGTCGAGACTCCTCTTAGGGGGGAGGGGGTGTCGTAAAATTTTCGAGAAAAAAAAAACGAGAACTGGCTCAGCTAACAGATCAAGTGTTATAGATAGAGCCTCAATTATTAATAATATGAGTATCAGCTGCCGGTTCACTGAAAAGCGGGTAAATCAGGAAATGCTTCTGTTCGCTACGGAGAGACTGTGAATAATTCCACAATGATTTTGATGGCGATTGTGATTACTATTATATTATTTACTTGTTAATTCAGTTATTCATACTGTATTTACATTTTGCTTACTATTATTTACACTATCTATTTACTTATACTGTAGTTAAGGTATTTCTCGACAGCCATTGTGAGGTAAATCAAGAATGGCTGCAACCGCTTCTTGAGCGCATCAAGGAAAAACCGGAGAGGTCCGTCTCCTTCTCTGCTCTCTCTATCTCTCTTTGTTTCACAGTTTGGTTTCTTAGGAGATTCCTGCAGTACTCTGTGTCAATTTCAGAGTTGTCTGTCCAATCATCGACATCATCGATTTGGATACGATGAAGTACGTCGAATCGCCGGTATGCAAGGGCGGTGTCAACTGGGGACTCACTTTCAAGGTATGTGGTCCTGCTCTTGCCTCCTTCGTCCTCTGTCACTCACCTCAACTGTTTATAGTGGGACTATCCGCCGCACACGTACTTTTCACAAGATCACAAGAACTTCATTCGTCCGCTGAAGTCGGCAACCATGGCTGGAGGACTGTTCGCCATCGACCGCTCA